GTACAGCTTGCCTATATCAGAGTCTCTTTAATCTGAAGAGAAATCTACCTGAATTTAAATACTTGAGCTTGAAACTCTTTCAGGGGATGAGAATTGTATGGAGAGGTTAATTTAGCCTTAGCCTGTGCATCTGCCCTTGCACCTCAGAGGACTGGACCCCAGCAGAGAATTTGGCTCCTCAGCTATTGTTAAATGTGTTTGGCTAATCTGTAGCTCATAAAGTGTCATTTTACCTCATGGTTCCCACACCTGGTAATGACCAGGAAGGAGGAATTCCCATGGGGTTGTGTCCTGACCTCATTTTGTCTATCATTTAGGGCTCAAGAGCGGAGGTGGTTTCTATCATGTTTAATTATGAGTTGACTAGAACAGCTATAAAACGGTAATGACTATCATTACCAACCTAAACCTGCTTCAGAGGAATTAAAGTGTCTGCTTCCATTGCTAATCTCACTGGCCATCCCAACTCTACCAAATTGTTACCTACACAGTTTGCTGTGATCAGAGCACCTACCAGTTAAAGAGAGTTAAAAAAACAAGTAGCTGTCATTTGGTCATCACCTTTCATTAATTTCATCTGGTTTTTGTTTTTGTTTTCTTTCCTGTTGGAATTGATATAGGTGGCTGATAGTCTAAGCTAATGAAGACAAAATACCTAGCACAAGGCACAAACAGCAGAATAACTGTCTCTGCCTGAAGAGGCTGATGATTGGGGCTGAGACTAGTATTATACTGACACCTTGTGGTTAATAGTAGCACCTGCTTTTAAAGTGAAAGGCCGTCGTTTTTTCTGACTGATTGAAATCACGTATTAAGAACATGAATGTATGGAAGAGATTATGGAGCAAAATAATTTTGTCCAAAATAATTATTCAGACCACCTTTTCAGATCCTATCAGAAAATCCCCAACAGAAGTTCTGTAACCTCAAGTCCTGACCTTTCTCAGGGCAAAATGACAAGTCCCCACAATAGTCTCAATTATATAAAATTGGGGTGGGGGGATTGTCTGTTTTACAATATCACACATTGTATTAAGTGACAGTCTCAGCTGTGAATGTACATCAGTGCAGCCAATAATGAAGTCTATTCTAAAACAAATAATTGATATGCAACCATTAATCTTTCATGAATATGATGATCTTCAACTCAACTTAGGGCATTTGGGTGCCATAATAAGTGTTAGTTGAGGTACAATGAATGGTGTTCCTTTTCCTTATGTTGAGTAACTCACAGAATATTTACACATGTGGTCTGACGATGAAATATTTTTCAAACTTCAAAGAACTAATATTCCACAGTTGAATGCAATTTTATTGAGTCAGGTAAGAACAGGATTGAAAGAAAGAGGCTTAAATGTCTCCATATAAAAATAATGAGAGACGGCTCCAAATTGTTCGTGGTGTCCAAATTGTCCTGCTGCTACAGATTAATTCTGGATACTCAGAAAATACCGTACTTGATACACACATAACCAGAAAATAAGACGGTCTTCGGGAACAGTATCACAGACTTTGGAGCCTTCGGTTCTCTTTTCCATACGGAACGTGGTTGGTAAAGGGGCACAGTGTATGGTCCGGCAAATGTCATCATTGTGGCAGGAGTCCTTCCTTTTCAGGGTGACTTTCTACTTCCCAAACACTGTGCCACTTGTCCTCTTATTCTATCCTGCTATTGCTAGTCCCGATAGAAGCCTTCCAGCCAGAGGGAAAGACACCGATCCCCCTGCTGCTCAGAACACACTAACTTGGCCCCTGAGCACTGCGTTTAACCTCAGTGAAACGAACGCATGAAGTCTGGTATTGAAGGGAAAGGCCAACCCCGGACCATACACACTAGGCCTGTACTTTCATCCCCAGCAAGAAAAAAGAGCATGGAAGTCATCTGCACACATGGGGGGGAGGGGTGGTCCTTCTGGACAGAGTCCTAGCTTAATTGTAGATAAGACCCCAAAATGGAAGGAGAGGATCAGAGAAGGAATGGGCAAGACAATTCAGAAGCAGAAGTCCAGACAAAGGAAGAGACCAAGAGAGGATAACAACTGGCGCAGACTTTCTCGACAGTAGGAATAGCCCCGCCCCAGATCTGCTGTGAGTGTGCTCAAACCCCCGGTCTCAGCCAGGCCCGTAAAGGGGGCGCCGCTCTTCCTGCACTGCCCGCTGCTGGGATCTGGTCTTCCTGCGGAGCTTCACTCTGAGGCTTCTGACAGGTGGAAGTTGCTCAAACCACAGGAGCGCTTGTCCTTCGGGATTACAACGTAGCTGACTCAGAAACACGATGATGATCATGCTCTTCCTTGTCCAGGAAAAAAATAGTTCTTTTGGTAGCTTTTCAGCAAATTTTAGTTGAAGGGGCGTGAGCCAGGAGCTTTGACACATTTTCTCTGAGTTAGATCTTTTATTCAGTAGCTCGTAATCACTTTCATCCTCTCTCTCCCTACACTGTTCAGATAGGCTGGGCACCCCACATACTTCATTGTATTCTACCCACCTTCCCCATTGAGAGAGAGAGAGACGAGAAACGTGTACAGAAATGGAGAAAGGTCCTACAGATTCCACACTAGCTGGCTGGATGGATATCTGGCTTTTGAATAATTCACACAGCAAACTATTTTCTAGGAATCTGGCACTTTATAAATAGACATTGATTAAATCTGTTGTATGAGTGAATGAGTGAGCAAAGGAGGGAACACGCAAATGCCTGCACAACAGATCTCTTTTGTTTGTTTCCTAAAATGTGTTATGCTTTGGGCCTGTATGTAAAAATTTATTTCATATATATTCATAGGTCGCCATGGTTTGTGTGCTTGCTTGGATATATTTTAGTAACTGATTGTGGTGCCAATTTGTAGTCTAAATTTAAAGTGAATTATTCATTGCTTCAACAAACCACAAGAGAAGCGGTGGTTATTTTCATTCAGTTATAGCTGTCCAGGGGCAAACACACAGAAGCAATTTGACCATCCATTACTGTATGCGTGTATTGTTTACAGGCATAATATATAACCAGCACTGGAAGAAAGACGTTCTGTATTACACAGGAAGTTGTACGTTTATATATTTACAGAGCATTAGGAAGTGTTCGTGTTATTCAGGGACCTAAGTAAAACATGGACTTCATTTAGAATACTCTCTGCATACATTGTGGATAAAAGTTTCTTTTCTCCAGCTTTTTATTATTCTTTGAGCTTAAATATTCAAATAAATATGTGTTTCACTTGGAGAAAATTTGGTCCAGTTGAACTGCCTTTGTCAAAATGGCTTCTATTCTCCAAGCGTTTTCAAGGGGCCGCTCCCGTGTGGCACTAGGCCATCCAGGTGCTGGCCTGATGCACACAGGGCGGTGCTCCCGAAACGTACTCACAGCTCTTCAAGGGAAGCAAATGACAATGTAGATATGGACAGTCTTTTGCAAGGAAAAACATTTGAGTTCTAATTAAGATAATAATTTACTTTATTCATGAAACTTGAGATTAAGTTAAAAGCTGTTCCTTTTAAGTTAGAATATTCTAGAATGGAGCAAAGTAAATGTTCTTTAAACAAGGCCTCTGACAAGAAATAATTGTTAATTTAAAAGAAATTTTTTTTTAATCTAGTTGACACACAATGTTACATTAGCTTCAGGTGTACAACGTAGTGATTCAATTTCTCTATAGGTTATGCTCTGTTCACACAAATGTGGCTACCATCCATCACCAGACAATGTTATTACAATACCACTGACTATATTCCCTATGCTCTGCCTTTTATTCCTGTGACTTATTCATCCCATAACTGGAAGTCTGTATCTCCCAGGATAATCATTAATTTTTAATATACTGCTCTATTTTTCAAAATCTGTAACTCTTTAGATATTTCACAGAACCCATATGACCATTTTCATTTAGAAGATTTGTCACTGGAACAAGGAGCATGCAGTAGCCCCCACAGAGAGGGAGTTTCCTCTAAGGGCTAAGGCGACAGTTTTGGAGTCAGAAATGACTGGACTCACGTCTTCACCCTGCCACTTAGCATCTGTGACATCTTGGGAGGACATTATTAATGTCTCTGCCATTCAACTTTCTTGTCTGAAAAATGGGGATGAGCCGGGCCTTCTTCACAGTCTGGTAGCAGTAATTAAATGAGGAAAGCATTTAGCAAGAGTCCCGGGACATGCCAGGTACTAAAATGTACTAGGTACAGCTATTATGCTTAATTTGTACTTTTTAATAAATAGGTCTTATTTGCTTCTGGTGATGGATTCTTAGCACACACTTTCATCTGTTCATTTGAAAATGTACTTATGGAGCACTCACAGAAGCTCAGTGAAAGCTGGCCCTGAAAAGAGTCACATAGTCACAATAGATAACTGTTCTGAAGGTGAATATAAAGACATTCTTTTTCATTAATTGGACCAGCCTTCAATCTTCTCAAAGAGAGGTAGGTTTGGGAGCTAGGGAGATAGGTGGGGAAGATGTGAACTGCATTTTTTGAAAGCTATAATAAGTGCTTTACACTCCTCTGGAAAAAAAAATCCAAATAAGCATTTGCCATGGAATGCATGGGGTCTTATTTTATTTGAAGACCTTAAGAATCTATCCCCAAACATATCAAAATAGGCTACCCATTGCCTCAAGCACTGTACGTTTTTAGGTGAAGAGAACAAAGGCCTAGACAACAGAGGGGACTTGGCCAGAGGCAGGTGTCCAGGCGAGCCCAGCATATCCCGCACACACCTCCCTGACTCTGCTCAGAGCCTTCCTCCTGACACGCACTCATTACAAGACTCTGTCACTTCATGTGAGAAGTTTCAAAACACACTGGTCTCTCTGCAGGAGGACGAAGCACCCCGCGCCCATGTTCCCTCGTCTGCAGGACTGACGGACTCCATCAGCTCGTACCACTTCCTGCTCCCACCATGGGACCCCTGGGGAGCATGCTGAGCAGTGGGCAAGTGCAGGTGGTCCTGTGGGGCAGTTTGGCAACTGTCGCCACTTTCTTCCTCATCAGCTTCCTCGTTTTTCTGTGCTCCAGTTGTGACAGGTGAGAGCCAAGGTGTATCCACTGGAACCCTAAAATAATCCGTTCCCTGTACCCAGAAGATTCTTCACGTGAGAAGCATGTAGGAATCCCACTACATGGACATTCACAGAAACCCCTGTGTTAAAATTAACTTCTCAGCTAGTATCCCAGGACACTTTTTTGAGTCTGAATGAAAATCCATATCTGATTCTGCTGAGGTGCAACTGGAAGAAGCCTCACGTACAAAACTTCCCAGAATGAAATTCTTGCCGTTCTTTTGAGCACATCCTTGTTGAAATGAATGTTGTCTTTTCCCATCTATGGACATTTGGAAATCTAAGTCTGATGTGTGTTAAAGGTACTCTTTTTGCTGCCCCTTGAAAGTTACTGCGAAGTATTGCTGTTACATGGTTTGAAAGGATCATTTTATTAAAGACTGGTAATCTGGACCTACTGTTTCTTAAGAAACAGATGAATTTTCCTATGAGATGAGTTGTATAAGAAATAATCTTGTCTTTTTTTAGAGTTACACTTCTCCTCCACCCCCCAATGTCTCCCTCATATAAAATGTAACCCCCCAAAAGAGATCTTTGCTCAGGAGCAATGTTCTTCCTAACAGGAAGTAATTTCCCAGGTGCTCCAACACTGTGAGGGTACTGGCAGGCTCCGGGTGGGTTGGTGCAGACCAGCCAGCCCTCTTCCAGACTCCCCTCTGTAACTTCAGCAGAGACCCTGAGGTCTCTGTCAGGAGGGGGGAAAGTCAGATTCTCTGGACCAAGTAGCCTTCTCATCCCTGCCCAGTTTGGACCTGGGCTCTGCAGCTGGGTCTGAGTCTGATCAGGAAGATGGCAGGCAGAAGAGTTGGCTGCCCCGCACTTGGGAGGGCCTGCCTGTAATTATTTACACTCGCACTAGGTGTCACTGTTGCCTCGTACATACGTGGGAAATGTAGTCTCTAGTACTGATGGCTTTCTTTAGACCGTCCTGAGTAAAAATAAATTCTATTTTTATTCGATGGACTTTTCCATAGACTGGAAGTACATATGACTCATCCTGAGAGCATGTATCCTTCCCGACGTGCCAAAATTTGTATTTTCTTTCATTATTTTCCCAGTCCCATGGCAGTGTGCAGTCAACTTAGCAAAGATTCTGAGTTAAGACAAATGAAGAGCAGAGAATTGTCTGGATTTTCTTTAAAAAAAAAAAAAAAAGGCAGAATCCTTTCTAGTATTCTAGATATGAACAGTTTCTACTCAGGAACGTGCCTCAGTCCTCTTGTTGTAAACTTGTATTTTCTACTCTGGGAGAAAGGGGAGAGCCAGAGAAGTGACTGGTCTCATGCTGTGACTTGACCCCCTCACACCCTGACGCCTGCAAAGGAGTGATGGAGCCACTGTCCAGCTTTTGCTTCCTTGGCAAAATAAACCAGGATCTTAAAAGAGAGACTTAAACGTTGATAAATACTAGGATAGAAAGGGGAGTGTATGTTTGATTTTAGATGGCATGTTTCGTATTACAGCAATGTTTTATCTTTACATTTCAGAGAGAAGAAGCCGAGGCAGCAGAGTGGGGACCATGAGAACCTGATGAACGTGGTGAGCCCATGTGCACATGTCTGTGTGTGTTTTAAAACATCAGCCGCTTATCTAAGCACTCTGTCCACAAGCTGCCGAGCTGAAGGAAACCGAGGGAAAGAACCCAGCAGAGTTAGCTGGCCTCCGAGGCTGTGCCCTCTCCGTAGGATTGTTACTCAGCATGCCTAGAGGCCTGTGCAATTAGCCGGGTTGGTTGGGAGGGTTTCTGAAATGGATACAATCATGCTGCTGCCAGAGAGATTCTTCAAGAGTTCCAGCCTACCTGCTACCGCAGGGACGCAGGGATGCCTCTGCCCAGCTCCAGCCCTGTAGCTGTTTGCTAGGGCTGCATAACCAACCGTGGGGCTTAAGCAACACATGTATTGTCTTGGAGTTCTGGAGGTTAGAAATGGAGATCAAGGTGTCCACGGGGCTGGTTCTTCCAAGAGCTTGGAGGGCGAGTCTGTTCAGGCCCTTCTCGCTTCTGGTGGTTTGCCGGCGATCTTTGTTGCTCCTCGGTGCCTTCACTGTCACGTGCTGTTCTCCCTGTGTCTCCCCACGTGGTCTCTGCGTGTTTCTGTGCAAGCTTCCCTGTTTTAGAAGGACTCCAGTGTGACCTCATCTTACGGAGCTAGGGCCCAGCTGGGTTTCCTCGGCCCTCCTTTCTTACGGGCCGGTCAAGCCGCTCAGATCCCCCCTGGTGAGGAGCAGCCTGAGCGTCCTGGTCCTGCCTTGTTCTCTCCACTCAGGTGGTGCCCTCACCTGGCTGAACAATTCTAGCAGCGGGGGGGAGGGGGCCACCCCATAGTGGCGGGGCTGACGGCATCCAGCTTGCTTGAGCCCCATGGCAGTGTGAAAACAGAGAAGTGTTTCCAGTCCCTGAAGGAATTTCTCAAGATCAGGGAAAAACTGCTTTGGGGGAGAGGGTGTGAAACATGTAGCCAGCAGACAGAGGCAGAGCCCCAGGAGGGGTCCCCACTCCCAGTCTCCCGCCCTACGGATGGGTGGGACTCGTGGATCCCCAGCAGCAGACAGGAAGTTGTCGGGGCTTCTCTCCCCCGGGGAGCCCCTGGGGTTTCCTAGTCTCCTTCTCTGTGCCTAAACACACACACACACACACACACACACACACACACACACACGCACGCACGCGCGCACCTCACCCACTGCTGTTCTGGGTTCTCAGCACCACCTCTCCCCTTACCCTTTTCCCGCCTCTGGTCGTCAGCCCCACTTCTCAGCTGCACCCCGCACCTCTGTTAGCACAGATTGCTGCCGTGGTGGCGTCAGATGGTGGTGGGGGGCCGCTCTACTGTCGCTCCTCCCACATGTAGGTCCCAGGCTCCGACTTTCTTCACCACCCCCCATGCTCCTTGGCGCCAGATGGAAGGTGAGGTTAGGGCAAAAGAAAGGGCTTCCATCTTTGTGCTCCATCCCATGTCCTTCCCGAGCAGCAGTTCTCAAGGGCGGCCTGCCCTGCTGGCAAGCCCCCTGCTGTGTGATTCTGCGGGAGGCTCACGTTGCAGAGCCACCGTGGGAGACCTCGAGGGCCTGCTCGTTCACCCCGGGTCAGCAGCAGCCCTGGGGGAGACAGAAGAGAGTGGCAGGCGGGTGAACGGAAGACGGAGACTCTCCTTCAGAACCCCACAGCCTCTCTTATGCAGATGTGCACACGAGAGCACTAGAGCACACATGTTCACATGGGCACTGGTTGGGAGCTCACACACACAGCCTGTCCACCCGGCTCTCTTTAAGAGCTTCCCTCTCAGCTTCTAAATCTTGTTCAACTTGCAGATTTGCCATTTAGGCCAAAGCAGCCCCTGCCGTCAGCCTCACCTCTCTGCCCCCTGATCCCAGCTCGTCTACATCCCGGCTCCCTCCTGAGCCCCAGAGGAGCCACCACTAAATCCTAGCCTAAAACGATCCCGAGGCACGGGGCGTCCGGGAGTCTGCACCTGGCGCTTGAGAGAGGGAGGGAGGCTCACTCCCGACTCCTCTGCGGGCCCTCTGTCCTGGAAGCCGAGAGCAGACGTGGTGGCCAAGACTGATTATGCTACTTCAGCAGGGTTGGGTTGTGATGCTGTCATGAGCCTGCCTGGGGCCTTCCCCCTTCACCCCTGACTCCTGTTCAGGTGGGACCCTTCTGTGCTATGAGCGTCTGTGCCATACGTTCCTGGCACCCTAATGCGATGACCCACCTCCTGGCACTCTTCAGTCAGGAGCAGCATTACGCCAACACAGCAGACTCGCAGGAAGGGTTCATGACACAGCGTGAACTATTTACTATTATTATTTGGTTCCCAGTAAGAAGTCAGAGAATTTATGAAGCCAACTGGCCAAGCTTCTGGAGCTGTTTATATCAGAACTTTCCATGTGGACTCCTAGAACATGGTCCAGGTGTGGCGTCCGGGGTCATGCACGCTGTGTGTCCTGTGAGAAGGATGTGGGAACAGGTCGCATTAGCAGGGATTCAGGCCGCCACAAGGAGCCAGCTGGGCATTTAAAGAAACACGTGGACTACCAACTTCCTTCGTGACTGCATGTAGCTATAGCTCAGCCTGGCATCTTATTCCATGTCCTATCTCCACATTCGAGCCCAGTAGAAAAACCTTCGAGGCTGTTCTTCCCTCCAGGCGTCCTGAATTTGTGACAGTAAGTTTGCAAACCTGCTGGTTAACATATGGCTGTTCTTGTGAGTCCTGAAGCAGAGACCTGGCTGGTTATGAAATAGTCTCAGAAATCAATGACCTTCTCATCTTCGGCCAGACTGCAGTCTCTTCCCTTCAGATGGCGTGTTTTTCCTGGCCTGGCATGCCTTTAAGAACAGCATCTTATAGCACCTGTGGTACAATGAGCCCAGCACTGGGGCTCTTGGTCCCCTTTCCACCTTGAGCTCAGGGGACTGATCACTCATGCCCACTTGTAGACCACCAGGTAGAAAGCCCTGCAGATGGTCTTGGAAGATTCCCAGGGTCCTGAAGAGTCTAGGACAACTCTGTCCAGGAGAGCTGTGCAGCATGACAGATGTGTTTCTGTCCCTGCTCCAATGCAATGACCCCCCAGCCACTGATAGCTGCTGAGCATTCCAGATGTGACCAGGACAGCAGAGCAACTCCAGTTTGCTTAGTATCACTGAGTTTGAGCGGAGTTGGGTTTCTGTTGTTGCTGTTTTCGTTTTTAGACAAAGCCAGGGCTACTGTCCTCTGCCTACAGTCTGATTCTTCATGTGGTGTTTGCTTCGCAGCCTTCCGACAAGGAGATGTTCAGCCATTCGGTAACTAGCCTGGCCACAGACGTACCTGCCAGCAGCGAGCACAATGGGATCCTCACCAATGGCGACAGTAGGTTCTGCGAAGGGACCAGCTTTCCACGCAGGCCTCATCACCTGAGACAAAAGTCATCTCAAAATCCGTAGCTCAAAACCTAGGCAATGTGTTCCTGCTCACTCTTAGTATTCCTACCAGTTTTAGCACAGATAAGCTCATTTGGATGAAAAGCTAGTATTTATTAATTGGTCTCTCTGTGCCATTGCTCTAAGATTTGTATACTAACTCATCCTTACAACTACCCAGTAAGATTACTGTTGTTAGTAGTAGTATTACTCTCTGTAAGAGAGCTCTCGTTACAACTTACAGGTGAAGAAACAGTGGCACATTGCTGCTTCAGCCAGTTACCACAAACCCAGTGGAGCCTCAGAGCAACAGAGCAACAGAAATGTATTAACTCAAAGCCCTAAAGTCAAGAGTACCAGCAGCACTCCATTTCCTCCTCAAGGCTCTAGGGGGAATCCATTTCCTTCCCGTTTCAGCTTCTTGAGGCCGCCTGCATTTCTTGACTGCTAGCCTTTCCCTCCATCTCCCCCTTTCCCCCCAACTCTCCCGCCTCCTCTGTCACTTAAAAGGACGCTCATGATTACATTGGGCCCCCCCTGGGTAACTCAGGCCGCTCTCCTATCTCAGGGTCAGCTGATCGTTCATCTGCACCTCTGGGATGATTAAGGACACATATAGTGGTACCTACCACTGGGTTAGACACGGGCCTGGGCTCCAGGGGTCTCAGGGAATCCCAGTCGAGTCAGTAAAAAAAAAAAAAGATTAAAAATCTTGTTATAAACACACACATACATACACATATCAGGACTATACATAATATGTAAGTACTATATATTGTATAAAAAGTATATAAGATAAATACATGCATGAATGTAGATACATATTTAAGTACACATTTATACATATGTACTTACACTTTTTATACTTCTATACAAAGACTATAAAATGGAGCGACATTTAATCACTGTTTGCTACAATGTTAAGTATCAGAAGGGTGGGGCTAGGCTTTGTTGATGTATCTCCAGCACTTTAATGGTCTCTGGCACATAGTAGGCACTCAAAAAGCATTTGATAAAGGGATGACTGAATGGTTTCCCACAGTGCATTTCAGTGGAAATCTAAGAATTTCACATTTGATTTTCCAATTTGTGGTAGAACTGGTAAAGGGAAGGGGCAGCGAGACGGAAGGAAGACCTTTAAAGAGGCATGGGCGTACTGTCCCTTTGTACTTGTGGTTGAGGGTACACTTTTGCCCCACTGTTTCCGTCATGTCTGCCAAACAAAAGTGACCATTGAAAGGGGGATGGTTACAGTTATTCCCTCTAAATGGGAGGCGGCCAGTAAGGCCAGGGAGGGTGGCCACCATGCGTGTCCCCCCCCCCCTTTTGGTGCCCAGCGTCTCACAGAGTCAGACCTCTGGTCGCATTAGACACACTGCTCCTTAAGCAACTCATCAACAAGCAATCCCATCAATAAGCAATGAAAGTAACTGTGAACCAAATTTATAGCCAAGTCAGTTTATTGGAAAGATGTAATAGCTGGCTTTAGTTTCAACTGTGGTTGAAATAGCAACAATCATATCATCTGTAATTTGCAGTTTAGAGTCAAATAAAAAGCAAGCACCTTGATTTAACTTAACTTTGCATTATCCATCACTGTAATAATTATTTAAGGAATTGTCTTTCTCAATTTTTCATACTTCTGCCGCTTTAGTTCTTTCAGAAGACAGCACTCTGACCTGCATGCAACATTATGAGGAGGTCCAGACCTCAGCTTCGGATCTGCTGGACTCCCAGGACAGCACGGGGAAGCCAAAATGTCATCAGAGCCGGGAACTGCCCAGAATTCCCCCTGACAGCACAGTGGACACGATCCTCAATGCGAGGAGCGTGGACGGGGTCCAGGGCCTGGGGACGGAAGGGCCGTATGAAGTGCTCAAGGATAGTTCCTCCCAAGAAAATATGGTGGAAGACTGCTTGTATGAAACTGTGAAAGAAATCAGGGAGGTGGCAGCAGCCATGAACCCAGGGAAGGGCCACAGCAGCAGGTCAAAGTCAACTTCTGCTCTGAAAGAGCTTCCCGGGCCCCAAGCCCCCCAAGTGGACTTTGCTGAATATGCATCAGTGGACAGAAACAAAAAGTGTCGACAGAGCGTTAATGCAGAGACTGTTCTTGGAAATTCTTGCGATCTGGAAGAGGAAGCCCCACCACCTGTCCCCGTTAAACTTCTGGATGAAAATGAAAACCTTCAGGAGAAGGAAGAGAGCCAGAGAGCAGAGGAAGGAGCCACAGAGGGGACCAGCGAAACCAACAAGGTGGGCTCCCATGGTTGTCTTTCATGTGCTTTTGTCATGATTGGGAATCTAGCTCCCCCTGGGGCTTTTACTGGCACATTGTTCTGGGAAATATACACAAACACTTTCAGGTTCGTTGAATGATGAAAGCTGTTTTAGCATAAGCTGTGTTTGACTTTTTCCCCCCTCCAAATAATAAAATACAGAAAATTCATGCTTGTAGAATATTTCTCTGTTGGTACCTAACTTGGATATTTTCCAGTTTTCACATCGTGTCTAATCGGGGCCAAGTATTATTTTCTTCATTTTGAAGATCAGGAATTAAATGGAGACTAGACTTTTTGCCACACATTTAGCCTCTTCTGTTCACTGCTGCTCAAGCAGCAGGGTGATCCTTACCCTTCCGGGATCCCAGAAACCAGAGCACAGGAATACACACGGAGAGAACAGACTCAACAGGTGCCACTGGTGGTATCTGATTCTATGCAGACTTTTATATAAATCAAGTAAAAGATTTTATTTTGTGACAATTTCAAAACAATAGCCTATAACTCTTTAAGTTTAGATATTCAACAAAGCTCTGAAATGTATTAACAATGCCCGAGCCTTCTGTTTCTGGTGACCTGACGTAGGAGTCACAACAGCCTGAAATTCACATCTCCTGCAGTCAGGATCTCCTTGGAATTTAACTAGGCCCAGTCATCTTATGCAACTACTATCTGATTTCTGTTCTCTACACAGGAAAAAGCAAGGTTCTCATCTCAGGTTTTGGTAGGAAGGATAAGTAGGTCAGTCAATAGTAGCCTTAAAAAGGATCCGGAGTTCATGATCAAAACGTGAATCCTGGCTATGGTTATATGGGTTATCCCAAGTAAGTCATTCTTTGGGGTATTCTCTGAAAGCATTTCAACTTTTCATATTACCCATGAAATCAGCTATTGAGAGCCTCAATACAGGTGTGTATGAACTGAGTCATAAAATGCAAAAATGCAGTCTAACGTTTTGCCCTTCCTATAACCAAAGATAATTAATGTAAAGTTTGTTGTGTCTAAAGCAGTTAAGGCTTTTTTACTTATAAGTACCTGAAAGATAAGAAGGCCAGTTGTCTAACCACTACTAGTGGTATCTCCAGATATCATATCAGAGTCTGGAAATACCCATCTGGGAATCAGATTACCTTTCTATAGTAATACAAGAATGATAACCCATCACATCCCTTATAAACAATCCTAATTTTTAAGCAATTCAGAGAACTTGAAACATTTAATATTCATTCATTTTTTCATTCATTCACAAGAAGATTTTAGTGAGCACCACCCATATGCCACACAGCCTTCTAGGTGCTGAGAATACACTGGTGACCAAAACATATAATTGAACAAAAATTCCTGCCCCCCGTGGAGTTTACATTTTAGTGGGGGGAGAGAGAGACATAAATATGCACATAAGTGTATGGTATTTTCCAAGGTTTTAAGGTTTATAGGGAAAAATTAGAACAGAATAATGATTAGGAAAGTAGAGTGGGAGTATAACTGTGAATCAGTGGTCAGGGTACGCCCACTGTGAAGAGGGCATCTGAATGAAATGTTCAAGGAGATGAGAAAGTTGGGGCAGAGCAGATGGAGCGGGGGAAGGGGCAGTGTGAAGGTGCCCGGCCGCCCAGGGAAGAGGAGGGGACAGGTGTAGCTGGAGAGGGAAGAGCAGGATAAGTAGTAGAAAGGTAACCAGGGGCCCAATCCCGTGTGGCCTCGGCTCGTAATCTGCATTAAAAAGGGGTCATTAGAAAATCTTGAGCAGAAGAATGGATTACTCTAGGTTTGGAAAAGATCGCTCTGACTGTAGGGTAAAATTCAACTGTCAAGGGTAGGAGCAAGGAGACCAATCAGGTGGCCATTCTCACAAACCAGACAAGAGAGGATGGTGGCTTGGAACAAGGCAGAAGTAATGGGAGATGCTAAACTAGAGCCAGGAGTTCTGTCGGTGGACCAGATGTGTAATGAAAGAAAGAAAAGATAATGATGAGTCCCAGGTTTGGCCTGAGCCACCGGAAAGATGGCATCACCCTTAACTGAAATGGAGAGGACTGCAGGCAGGCAAGTTTTTGGAGAAGACCGGGTATTCAGTGCTAGACGTGTTTTGTTTGAGACTCATGCTGGATATCTGAGTAGAAGCAGCAGAGAGTAGCTTGACAAATGAGCAGCCTTATAAGAAAGGGCCTGGGCTGCTTTTGTACACTTGGAAGTCCTCAGCAAAAAGTTTTTCTTAAAGCTATGACACTGGATGAGGTCATTGGATGAGTGGAAATGGCATCTAGAAGAGTTCCCAGGGCACAGGTCTGGGAAAGAAAAGGAACCAGCAGAGGACACCAAAATAGGAAAGAAAAACAGGAAGGTTCCGTGTCCTGGAAGCCAAGTGAAGAAGGTTCAGGGACAGAGGAGTGGCCACTATGGCAAATACAGCGATGGATCAGAAAGTGAGGGCTGAGGATTGACCATCCTGTTGGTTACACGGTGGACACTGATGTCCTTGGAGTGTCAGAGGCAGAAACTTGTCTGAAATGGAATGAGAGAGAGAATAGGAAGAGAAAAACTATGTGAGCGACTTTTTTAGACAACTCTTTTAGGAGGTTTTGCTATAAAGGGATGAGGCATTAGATGGAACTGGAAGAAGGGTTGTTTTGTTTTTAGAATCAGAGAAATAACAGCATGGTTTCACGTGGGTGGGAATGATTTTATAGTAAGGGAAAAGCTGATGATATAAACAAAATGGGAGACGTGCTGGAGCACATATTCACGAGCAGATGTGAGGGGGCAGGATCTCATGCATAAGAGGAGGGGGTCACTTTAAAGAGAGTTCTTTGGTGACAGGGAGGAAGGAAAATTCAAGAATGCAGAGATGGGGGCAGGGTGGGGTTCATGGACATGTCTTCTGATTTCTTCAGTTTTCTCAAGGTCACCAGCTAAGACTGAGGATGGGTTGAGAAGGTGTTGGGAGTCTGGGGAAAGAGAAGAAGGTGGGAAGTGAACAGCTAGGAGAGCAGGGACCGGGTGTCCTAGCAAGTGTGGTATGACAGGGAGCAGCATCAAGGACTCACCGGAGGGTTGAATTCACCAGTGATAAGAGCAGTGGGTATTTAATACTACTGGGTATTGAAAAACGTCACAGAGTAGATTTTTTTACAAGTGTTTATCCTCACTTGCTTCACATAATTTCTTTGTAGAAAAATTTCTTCCCTAGAAATCATTTGAAAACATCTTTATAGATAGATGTGTCAAAACACATGCAAAAGAAAGGTTGGATTACTAACTTCAAACTATACCTTCCCTTGCTTTCTGTTTGTTTTAACAGAGATTTAGTTCATTGTCGTACAAGTCCCGGGAGGAAGACCCAACTCTCACAGAGGAAGAGGTGAGTTTTGTTGCTTTTTAAAAAATAACCACAAAGCTCTAAAGAATAGAGTTTCTCTCCTTGCATAAATGACTGTCACATTATCCTTCTCTGAAAAAGCTAAAATACTCTCTTTGGCATATGTCTGGAGATCAGAGTTTGGGGAGCTGGGCTTTATAATGGTTCAGAGAGAGTGACTGGAAGATGGAAAGACAAGAAGGAAGACAGGTTGAACAGGTCACCTAAGAAACTAAGTAGGAAAGAAGCATCATAAAGGAAAAAAAAAAAATAGAGAAGGGGAGAAAATAGAATGAGAAGAGAGAAATTTAAGTATGAGAGCTTTAGTTGAGCAGTCAGGAAGATCACCTGTGAAGGAAATTAATCATGGGTTAGAAAATATAGGAAATTGGAACAGGTGGGTATAGGGAATTTAATCCAGCCTGGGAGATGGAGGAGGAAGGTTTTAATGAGAAATTTCAGAGGCCGAGAGCAGGTAACTCCAGGAAGTACAATTCCAGGCTGGCGCAAGAGTCAGACATAGTGGCCAACAGGAGAGAAATGTGTATTCTCCCAAGTCCCAGGCTAAAGACTCACCGGTTAGATGTCTTTTTTTTTTTCTTATGTTAATCACCATACATTACATCATTACTTTTTGATGTAGTGTTCCCTGATTCATTCTTTGTGCATAACACCCAGTGCTCCACGCAGAATGTGCCCTCTTTAATACCCATCACCAGGCTAACCCAGCCCCCCACCCTCCTCCCCTCTAGAACCCTCAGTTTGTTTTTCAGAGTCCATCGTCTCTCATGGTTCGTCTCCCCCTCCGACTTACTCCCCTTCATTCTTCCCCTCCTGCTATCGTCTTTTTTCTTTTTTCTTAACATATGTTGCATTATTTGTTTCAGAAGTACAGATCTGTGATTCAACAGTCTTGCACAATTCACAGCGCTCACCATAGCACATACCCTCCCCAATGTCTATCACCCAGCCACCCCATCCCTCCCACCCCCCACCACTCCAGCAACCCTCAGTTTGTTTCCTGAGTTTAAGAATTCCTCATATCAGTGAGGTCATATGATACATGTCTTTCTCTGATTGACTTATTTCACTCAGCATAACACCCTCCAGTTCCATCCACATCATTGCAAATGGCAAGATCTCATTCCTTTTGATGGCTGCATAATATTCCATTGTGTATATATACCACTTCTTCTTTATCCATTCATCTGCCGATGGACATCTTGGCTCTTTCCACAGTTTGGCTATTGTGGACATTGCTGCTATAAACATGGGGGTGCACGTACCCCTTCGGATCCCTACATTTGTATCTTTGTGGTAAATACCCAATAGTACAATTGCTGGATCATATGGTGGCTCTATTTTCAACTGTTTGAGTAACCTCCATACTGTTTTCCAGAGTGGCTGCACCAGCTTGCATTCCCACCAACAGTGTAGGAGGGTTCCCCTTTCTCCGCATCCCCGCCAACATCTGTCGTTTCCTGACTTGTTCATTTTAGCCATTCTGACTGGTGTGAGGTGGTATCTCATTGAGGTTTCGATTTGGATTTCCCTGATGCCGAGCGATGTTGAGCACTTTTTCATGTGCCTGTTGGCCATTTGGATGTCTTCTTTGGAAAAATGTCTGTTCATGTCTTTTGCCCATTTCATGATTGGATTATTTGTTCTTTGGGTGTTGAGTTTGATAAGTTCTTTATAGATTTTGGATACTAGCCCTTTATCTGTCATTTGCAAATATTTTCTCCCATTCTGTCGGTTGTCTTTTGGTTTTGTGGACTGTTTCTTTTGCTGTACAAAAGCTTTTTATCTTGATGAAATCCCAATGGTTCATCTTTGCCCTGGCTTCCCTTGCCTTTGGCAATGTTTCTAGGAAGAAGTTGCTGCGGCTGAGGTCGAAGAGGTTGCTGCCTGTGTTCTCCTTTAGGATTTTGATGGACTCCTGTCTCACGTTTAGGTCTTTCAACCATTTGGAGTCTATTTTTGTGTGTGGTGTAAGGAAATGGTCCAGTTTCATTCTCTGCATGTGGCTGTCCAATTGTCCCAACACCATTTGTTGAAGAGACTGTCTTTTTGCCATTGGACATTCTTTCCTGCTTTGTCAAAGATGAGTTGACCATAGAGTTGAGCGTCCATTTCTGGGCTCTCTATTCTGTTCCATTGATCTATGTGTCTGTTTTTGTGCCAGTACTATACTGTCTTGATGATGACAGCTTTGTAATAGAGCTGGAAGTCGGAAATTGTGATGCCGCCAGCTTTGCTTTTCTTTTTCAGTATTCCTCTGGCTATTTGGGGTCTCTTCTGGTTCCATACAAATTTTAGGATTATTTGTTCCATTTCTTTGAAAAAAGTGGATGGTATTTTGATGGGGATTGCATTGAATGTGTAGATTGCTCTAGGTAGCATTGACATCTTCACAATGTTTGTTCATCCAATCCATGAGCATGGAACGTTTTTCCATTTCTTTGTGTCTTCTTCAATTTCTTTCATGAGTATTTTATAGTTTTCTGAGTACAGATCCTTTGCCTCTTTGGTTAAATTTATTCCTAGGTATCTTATGGTTTTGGGTGCAATTGTAAATGGGATAGACTCCTTGATTTGTCTCTCTTCTGTCTTGTTGGTGTATAGGAATGCCACTGATTTCTGTGCATTGATTTTCTATCCTGCTACTTTACTGAATTCCTGTATGAGTTCTAGCAGTTTTGGGGTGGAGTCTTTTGGGTTTTCCACATACAGTATCATATCACCTGCAAAGAGTGAGAGTTTGACTTCCTCTTTGCCGATTTGGATGCCTTTGATTTCTTTTTGTTTTCTGATTGCTGTGGCTAGGACTTCGAATACTATGTTGAATAGGAGTGGTGATAATGGACCTCCCTGCCGGGTTCCTGACCTTAGGGGAAAAGCTCTCAGCTTTTCCCCATTAAGAATGATGTTTGCTGTAGGTTTTTCATAGATGGCTTTTAGGATATTGAGGTATGTACCCTCTATCCCTATACTCTGAAGAGTTTTGATCAAGAAAGGATGCTGTACTTTGTCAAATGCTTTTTCTGCATCTATTGAGAGGATCATATGATTCTTGTTCTTTCTTTTGTTAATGTATTGTATCACGTTGATTGATTTGCAGATGTTGAACCAACCTTGCAGCCCAGGGATAAATCCCACTTGGTCATGGTGAATAATTCTTTTAATGTACTGTTGGATCCTATTGACTAGTTTTTTGGTGAGAATTTTTGCATCCATGTTCATCAAGGATATTGGTCTGTAATTCTCCTTTTTGATGGGGTCTTTGTCTGGTTTTGGGATCAAGGTAATGGTGGCCTCATAAAATGAGTCTGGAAGTTTTCCTTCCATTTCTATTTTTTGGAACAGTTTCAGGAGAATAGGTATTAATTCTTCTTTAAATGTCTGATAGAATTCCCCTGGGAAGCCATCTGGCCCTGGGCTTTTGTTTCTTGGGAGATTTTTGATGACTGCTTCAATTTCCTTAGTGGTTATAGGTCTGTTCAGGTTTTCTATTTCTTCCTGGTTCAATTTTGGTAGTTGATACATCTCTAGGAATGCACCCATTTCTTCCAGGTTCTCTAATTTGCTGGCATAGAGTTGCTCATAATATGTTCTTATAATTGTTTGTATTTCTTTGGTGTTGGTTGTGATCTCTCCTCTTTCATTCATGATTTTGTTGATTTGGGTCATTTCTCTTTTCTTTTTGGTAAGTATGGCCAGGGGTTTATCAATCCTGTTAATTCTTTCAAAGAACCAGCTCCTAGTTTTGTTGATCTGCTACTGTTCTTTTGGTTTCTATTTCATTGATTTCTGCTCTGATCTTTATTATTTCTCTTCTCCTGCTGGGTTTAGGCTTTATTTGCTGTTCTTTCTCCAGCTCCTTTAGGTGGAGGGTTAGGTTGTGTATTTGAGACCTCTCTTGTTTCTTGAGAAAGGCTTGTATTGCTATATACTTTCCTCTCAGGACTGCCTTTGCTGTATCCCAAAGATTTTGAACAGTTGCGTTTTCATTTTCATTGGTTTCCATGAATTTTTTTAAATTCTTCTTTAATTTCCTGGTTGACCCATTCATTCTTTAGTAGGATGCTCTTTAGCCTCCATGTATTTGAGTTCTTTCCGACTTTCCTCTTGTGGCTGAGTTCTAGTTTCAAAGCATTGTGGTCTGAAAATATGCAGGAAAAAATCCCAGTCTTTTGGTACTGGTTGAGATCTGATTTGTGACCTAGGATGTGATCTATTCTGGAGAATGTTCCATGGGCACTAGAGAAGAATGTGTATTCCGTTGCTTTGGGATGGAATGTTCTGAATATGTCTGTGAAGTCCATTTGGTCCAGTGTGTCATTTAAAGTCTTTATTTCCTTGTTGCTCTTTTGCTTAGATGATCTGTCCATTTCAGTCGGGGGGGTATTAACGTCCCCCACTATTATTGTATTGTTGTCAATGTGTTTCTTTGCTTTTGTTATTAATTGCCTTATATAATTGGCTGCTCCCATGTTAGGGGCATAGATATTTACAATTGTTAGCTCTCCTTGTTGGATAGACCCTTAAGTAGGATATGGTGTCCTTCTTCATCTCTTATTACAGTCTTTGTTTTAAAATCTAATTTGTCTGATAGGATTGCCACCCCAGCTTTCTTTTGGTGTCCATTAGTATGGTAAATGGTTTTCCACCCCCTCACTTTCAATGTGGGGGTGTCTTTGGATCTAAAATGAGTCTCTTGCAGACAGCATATTGATGGGTCTTGTTTTTTAATCCAATCTGATAGCCTGTGTCTTTTGATTGGGGCATTGAGCCCATTTACATTCAGGGTAACTATTGAAAGATATGAATTTAGTGCCATTGTATTGCCTGTAAGGTGACTGTTACTGTGTATTGTCTGTGTTCCTTTCTGATCTATGCTGCTTTTAGGCTCTCTTTTTGCTTAGCGGACCCCTTTCAATATTTCTTGTAGGGCTGGTTTCATGTTTGCAAATTCCTTTAGTTTTTGTTTGTCCTGAAAGCTT